GTCAAACAACTTCTATACAACGAAAGAAGACTGCGACCACACAAAAGGCCACACCATCTTGGTCTTTATACCTCCTGATTTATAATTGTTGAGCTAACTTCCAGTTACAGTGGAAATGTTTAGCGAAGAGATTCGAAGGTCGATCCCAACAGAAGACGACAGCGGATTCCTATCGATCAGATATCGAGTAGCTCTACATGTTGATGCTATTTCCAAAGCAATCTGCTTTGAGTCAGGTGAAAACAAGCTAAGCTTTCGTCCTTCGAATGATGAAACGTGGTGTGATGATCAACGTATCAAGATTATATGTATGGTTCCAGTCGCGCTGGGGGCATTAATAAGACCTAGGCAAGGTCGAAACTGCAGTCCACCCTGGATGAGAATACCTTTTAGAAAAGCAAGGATATATGAAATCCAATGAAAACTCCATGTCTAAGCAAATTCGGGAAGGAAAATTCAACTACCAGTCCTTCATCACCTTAAAGTATAATAGGCAGTTCCGAAAACCTACTTAAAACGAAATATCAAAATGATCTATTTGCTTTTGAGGCAGATAAAGGTGGTGTATCAGTCAGCATAAGTTAATATATACTTAAAAAATGATGATCCATTTATGACTCAGAAACATACCCACGAGGGTCTTAAAGCCTGACTTAATGAATCAGTTAATGAATGTGAAGGCAAGGAAGAAATCAAAAAGTGGAAAATAAACTCAATTCTTTAAAGATACACAAGGTCACCTTCAGCTAACGGTCTTGCGAAGATACACAAGGAAGTAGTTACTTTAGGATAATAATACGGGAAGTGTGATGCATAGGAGTCCACGATTCCTATGCAGACAGTTAAGGAGGGTGGCTGAGTATTGGAATTATTCTGTTAAGAATTCATATGAATTTATTAGACTGGTAGATCAACAGAGTATTAGAGGGGAAGGCATTTGTGAGTTTCGATGTGATACCAATGTATACTAGCATCTCAATTGAGAAGATTATTGGAGCACCAGCAATTGGCCTGGATGAACACCTGGCTATTATTGAGAGAAAACTTAGCAAAAGACTCAATCTCAGGACTAATTAATCTATCTATGAGTAGAACATAAATTAGCTTTAACGATAAGTTTTATTAACAGCTGCAAGCCCGGGTATCTTGTCTAGTCCCTATTTTAGTGAATAATTAATTTCCAAGAATGGAAGAATGTTTTTGTCCACTATATATACTTACATCGAAAATTATTTAGATACAGATGGATATGTTTTTTTAATTTTCTTATATTCAAGAGTGTCTGTCTGTGAGTTTAATCGAAATTCGTCTTCCCTTCGCATATAACTTTGGTGACCCGGCGAAGGTCATCTCAAAAAAAGATAAGTATGTTGTTTTCCATACTGAAACTTGCGTTCGAGACTGGATACTATATTAGTGTAATTAGAAGAGAAACAATTATGAAACAATTATGAATTATCAAAAAGTGTTTATTTAATATATCTCAACGCCATCAAATATATTCAAACGAATGTAACTACTTAACGTTCGAATATGTCCAAAAACAAGAATCTTCTAAAAAATATTACTAACCATATCGGTTAATCTGTCGCATTCGCGTCGTACAGCGTCCCTTTCAGATTCAATAAGTGCCAATTGATCAGTCAGAGCTCGCCGTTTTTCTGCGGCAACCCGGCGAACTGAATGAAGTAACTCGGCCTGTCGACGTTCGACGAGGGCAAGGACCTCTGCAAAGCTGGAAATTATTGCCTGTCTCATTGAAATAAAATGATCAGAACAGCAAGGGAAGGATTAAATAGGAAGTGATAAGCTAGAGAAATGGATATTAAATAAGTTAGAGAGAAAAGAGCATAAACATAAGGGAACTAAAATTGAATACAAATATAATAGAAACAAATTGATTCAACTCTTATTCTTTTCTTCTGCTTAGAGCGACAGAGGCTTCTTTACAAAGTTCGAATTTCGAAATCGGTGAAAGGCTTTCTTAAATAATTAGCATTCAAAATAGCTCCAACAGGAAAAATGAGAAGTAAATTTTACAAATATAGTATAATGACTTTCAAAAGCCAATCGTAATTTGGTAAGATAATTTGAAATAT